AATGTAATAATTTTAATTTTAAAAATTGCAGAAAGCAGAGCTATCAGTGTTCTCTGTCATAACATTAGAACTTTAATTAAATGTTCACTGTGTTTGCTTGTGTTGAAGCTAAACAGAACTGTTTATCTAAGCCTCACTGATTTAAAATCATTTCTGTGCAATTCTCTTAAAATTATTCTGGGCATGACAGTATTTTTTATATATATCCATTTTACTACTCTTAGTATGTACATGAATAAATTCTTATGAATCCCTTTTATAGTAATCTTATCTCAGTCCTGTAGAGGGTACAATGCAGTTGGAGAAGATTAAAGATAAAAATTCTCCAAGATTTGTATTGTAAGCTAGTGGGGCAAGTGAGGCTTAATTTCAGTCTCATTCCAGACTCTTTTGCTTCTGACAAATTAATCTTTCCTATTTTATCAGCAGTGGTTTATTACATAGCCATGGAAAATTAAGAACATTAGGAAAACATTTTAATATTAATGCAGTAAGAATATGATTTTTCCCTCAGCCATGTTGAGGATGTCAGAAGATCATGTGCTTCCAGAGCTGAACAAGGTAGTAGTAATGTTTTCTGATAAATGGTGGTATACTCTGTATTCTTCTTGACTTAGAGGGCAAGATTAAAGGTTTATTTTTGTTCCAAAACTTAAAGGATAGTGTCTGTGTCATTTCTTTGAGAAAGTTGATGCCTGCAGATTCACACTAAAATGCTGTCTCGCATGAATTACTTTTTCTGTTTTCTTTGTTAATACTACTCTTTTTAGTATGCTGTATGTGAATGCAAGACCTCTGCGTATAGCAGCTCTTTATACGCCCTAAATGGCTAAGTTAACTGGAATGGCATTTTAACACCTTTACCAATGCCCCGGTAGAGGAGGTGGAATACACCTACATCAGATTTGCAGACACCATCACACTGGGTGACCCAGTTAATATGCTCGAGGGCAGAGGTGCTTTCCAGAGGGAAATAGGTACGTTGGAGCAATGGACAGATAGGGACCTCCTGAAGTTCCACAAGGAGAAATGCAAGGTTCTGTCCTGGGGAAGCGTAACCCCCTGCAATTGCACAGCAGGGCCCCAACTGGCTGGGGAGTAGCTCTGCTGAGATGGACTTGGGGATGTTGGTGGATGCAAGCTGGGCATGAGCCAGCAGTGTGCCCTGGCAGCGAGGGCGGCCAAGAGTAACCAGGGCTGTACTAACAGGAGCATGGCCAGGAGATCAAGGGAAGTAGTTACCCTCCTTATTTAGCACTCATCAGATCGCATCTAGAATACTTTCTCCACTTTGGGGCCCTCCTGTACAAGACAGACATGAATAAACTGGTGTGAGTTCAGCAGAGGGCTCCCAAGCAGGTTGGAGGCTGGAGCACTTGCCCTGCGAGGACAGGCTGAGGGAGCTGCGCTTGTTCAGCCTACAGAACAAGTGTTCCGTGCTCATTGAAATGTATTTCTTATCCTCTGCTTTTCTCACCATTTTTTTCTTTTAGATGACTCAAAAAGATATCACGTTTGTTGCTGATTTTCTTACTGAACACTTCAATGAGGTAAGTTATATTGGTTTGCCAAGTACAGCATCTGACTGTATTTTTGCTGCCAAGAACGAATGTGAAAAATCCTATAATAAAATAATTCAATCATCTTTTTGTACACTACCTCTCATTAACTTTGGGTTTAAATAATGGTTTTGTTTGCATTATTTTTTCAGGCACCAGAACTTTACAATCGTAAAGGAAAATACTTCAATGTGGAGAGAGTTGGCCAGGTAAAGAACAAGGGAGTAAATGGAAAAAGAATAAATGAGAAAATCAGTAGATGGAGAAGCTTTTAAAGCTGTGCCCACTTTTCTTCTCTGTCCCTTTTGCTGTGTTGCACATTCTAGTAATGGTAAAGGAGAGTATTTTAATTATTTTCTACTATTATTAGGAAAAGGAGTGTTTAAAAATATATCTTATAGTTTTACCTGACACATGCTGTATTTTTAGGAAAAAGATGAAACTTCTTCGCAGCCAGCAATAGTAATGTAAAACTGAAATGCACGTGTTGTCTTTATGCCATAAATCACTAGATTTCAAAACATTTATGCCCAAAGTTGATTTAAAAATCAGTTTCTTACAGAAATATCACTATATGATCTTAGACAGTAGTTGATTTTTCTTATTGTTTCAAGAAGGGGTAGAATATTTAGTTTTAAGAGTAGGGCATGTTAAATTAAGGAGAAATGTTTAACGGACTTGTGAGGAGCAATGTTGGAGGTGAATTCTAATGTTCCTTATTCTTAAAATGCAATCTTACAAATGTCTGTTTCTTTTCTAGTACTTGAAAGATGAAGATGATGACCTTGTATCACCACCTAATACAGAGGGAAACCAGTGGTTCAACTTTCTTAAAAATAGTACTCATCTGAAAGGTAATGTGTGCTTTAGTAAAATGTAAAAGTGAATCAAAGTTATACATAGAATGTAACAAATGTAGAAAAGTAATCTGTTTTTTCATGCTTATGAGTTATTTCTGTAGTGTTAGTCGTGGGTCTCCATCTGAGTAGAATAAAATAAATGGGCCTTGTTATTTTACACAGTTTTTATGTAGCTGCTTACCCAGTCAATTACCATTTTCTGGGTATTAGGAGTTTCCTAGCTTTTATATACCAGTCTCAGAAATGGCTTGGAAGGAATCCCAGGAGATGTCTGTTTTAGGAGATCTTAATTCCTGTTCAAAGAAGTAATAATTACGCTTAGGTCACACCTGGGGGAAGTGTCCTAACTTGTTCTCTTTGACTGGAGTCTGAGACTATTTTGTTAATTAGTGGTGAAAAAGAAGTAAGACTATAACAAGGTGATGGTGAAAATGATTCTTGTTTAACTTTAGAAACCATAGACTGTAAAACTTCTACAGAATAAGCTGTCTTGTAATAGAGTTTGCTATAGCTGCCTTTTTCTGCCTATTTAGTTCAATAAAAAGGGAGGAAGCGGTAGCATTTTTGTTTGGCAAAGTAGTATTTAGAAAGTGTATTTTTAAACATACTTTAAAAATCTGTTTGATACTTTGAATGTGTAGACTACTTGACTGGTCACTTCTGTTACTACCCAAGATTCGTGATTGTTTGTAGAGGTGGTTTGTAAGTGGTTTTGTTGGTGTTAATTTGGCAAGTATTGAGATGTTCGTCTTGCTCTCAGAACTGCAGGGTTTATAGGGCAAGTAATGCTTCTGTCATTGACACTTTCTACCCTTCTTTGGTGTTTTATATTGCTTTGTTGGTTGATGTAACTGTTATCTTTTTTCCAGCTGAACATTGGAAAAGAAACAGGTTATGTACTTAAAATAAGTAGTGAGATTTATCTCAAAAGCTAAATGTCTTCTTACAGAGTATTTCATTTCATAAAAACAGATCAGTCCTATTGAAGCCAAATCATAGCTACTATAAAAAGTATGGAAATTGTTTTGCTTAAACAAGATATTTTATGACAACTGTGTTTCTAGCTCTTGGGTAAATGCAATTCTGTCTTTTTGCAATTTTGAATGGGCTGTGAAGAAAAGCTGAAGGGGCAGGCAGGCCTTCATTTCTCATTCATTTATCTTGTTTCATATTGTAATCCAGTTAGTTACTTGAGTTAGAATTTATAATCAGGGAATAATTTAGGCGGTCACCTAATCCAACCAAAGCAGGTCTGATTTTGAAGCTAGGCTGGGTTGCTCAAGGCTTTGTGCAGTTGAGTCCTCTACGCCTGCAAGGATGGAGATCCTGCAGCCTCTCTGGGTGCCCTGCTCCAGTGACTAACCAGTCCCTGTGAAAACTCTTTTTCGTTATATCTGATTGGAATTTCCCTTGCTGGAGCTTATGGCTGTTACATCTTCTCCTCTCACTGTGTGCAGCTTTGAAAACAATGTCTTCTGTAACTCCTCCTTTAGGCAGCTGAAGAGAGCAACAGGTTCCTCCTTGTTAGCCCTCACTTCTCTAGGCTGAATGAACCCAGCCCCCTCAACTTCTCGTAAAGCATGTGCTCTAGCCCTGCAACCATCTTACTGACCCTCCACTGGACTCATTCCAATTTGTCACTATAATAACGGTGTAGTGTGTTTTTATAGAGATACAAGCATTTTTTAAATGAACTTTATCTGTTTACAGAAAGTCCACTTTTGTTTCCCTACTATCCTGAGAAATCACTGCATTTTGTCAAAAAGCAAATGGAAGGGGTCATTGATCGGTGTTTACAAAAGCCAGCGGTAAGTTCAATTTATATAAATGATAACTTTCTTTTAGGGGTAGCAGTCAGCTGAAGATAGTAGTCATGCTTAGTAAGGCCTGAAGTTTTAATCTTTGCCTTCGAGTGCCTACAACTTAGGTGGTAGCATGTAGCCCAGCTTCACCACTGTCGGGATGCCTCAAGGCTTTGGCTAGGGAGAGCGTAATGGGGGATTTTTTTTGTTTCATGCCTTCTGTTCCCACATTATCGGGATCTATTTTTAACGTTAATTAGCTGGGTGTATGCACTATGTACTAGATAACTGTGTTAGTTGGCAATACATTAGTCTACATATTATGAAGAAACATGAAACAAGTGTATCAAGTGACAGGAGTGTTTGCATTAGGGATGTTTATTCCAGCATAAATATTGGTGGATTTCTCTTTCAGGTGTAGTCAGGTGTTTTTGGTTGGTTGGTTGTGGTTTTTTGTCTTAAAAAGGTGTATAATTATAAATAACTGCCTGCACTTTTTGGTCTATTTTCATTATATTTGTTAGGATGTAATTGGAAAGTCAGTGCATCAAGCAGTCTGCATGTCTCTTTACAAAACTTCTCAAAGGTATTTCTTTACACTATTTCTAAAGCTCAGTTGCACAAAATTACAGTAGCATTTTATAAACTGGTTTGGTTTTTCCTTTTCAGTGAAGATTCCACACCTCAATTATTTAAACTACCATTTCTGTAAGTATGCTGCTATTCCTTGTTCTATGTCATTTACCAATTATTAAAGCTTGACCTAAATTTTCATTTCCTCCCCCCCGCATTACAGGTGGAATGATAAAACATCCAATATACATTATGTTCTCTTCACCATATTAGAAAATTCTATTTCTAAAATACACATTTTGAGGAGACATACTGATACTTCCAGGTAAGACAAAAAAGGGGGAAAGGTGGTTTGTGAGCTTTGGCACATGTGTACAGAGACAACTACAATTTGAATCTTCTTGTAAAAAGAAGGAATGAGCAGCATGAATACCATCTTTCTCAGGTACTAGAGAAAATGAGGACCACATTAGGAAGTGCAGTAGGAAACTGCAGCAGGAGTTTTTGTTGTATTAGACTCAGAAAATCTAATCACAAGACCCAAGATGGTTTTAGGCTTAGGAAAAAAATCAGGCTCCCTTAGTTTTGCTCCTCACAGAATTACTTGCTTGTGCAAACTTGTGAAAAATTACAGGGAATCATGCTTTCAGTGTTGCTTTATCTTATTGTAAATATTATTCTTTGATTAACTCCTTGCAGCCTGTAATTTAATACTCTAAGGAAAAATGGGGGGTGGACTCATAGGTGCAACAAATAAAATACATTTCTTTGGGGTGTCATTTTGTGTACCTTCAGGAGTTTCTGTGTCCAAGATGGTGTTTGTCACTGCCTAGTTGCACTGATGCAACTATTTAAGATGCATTCTGTCAGTGGGATCTCTGAAATGACCTGGGTTTAGAGAACAACAAAAACTCCTCCTCTCTGTAAAATACTGATTTTTATAATCTGTGTCATTTAATTTGAGGAGATAATGAACTGCGATGGGGTGGGAATTTTTAAACGCATGGTGAAACTATCTTCTGTGTTTCCAGTTGAGAGCTGCATATGACAAAATTACAGCCTTGTGGTGTAGTTTCTATCCTATTTCCTCCCTCATTGATATCTAAAACAGTCTAAACTTGTCTTCTGTAGATTTGAATAACAAGTAACTTAACGGACCTAAGACTAGGACAACTGAGTCAAGAGTTCAGCAAAGAACTGTACCCCACAAGCCAGACACAGTTTCCCATTTGACTCCATGTTTTGCTGAGGGGCAGAAGAAATCAAAAAGTTTCCATCCACCAGTTACATCATTTTGGGTTGTAGCTGTGTATTGTGCTAAGCTTAGAGAGGCTTACACCGTCTCTTACCACAGTTGCTGTTAGAAATTTTGGATTCTCTATGAATGGAAAAGAAATTAGTCACCGAGATAATGAATGCTGTTCTTCTAGGTCTGTCAGTAATGGAATTCTTGCAGTAGATTTTGGAAACTTCTTGAACAACAGTATAAATGAGAGCTCAGACTCCAGGTCAGTATATTTGATTTTTCTTCCAGAATTGCAGATTGCTGAATTGAAGACCATGTTTTCTAGTGTTTATTTTGCATTAAGTTAATTTTTTGGGCATTATAGTTTGGCTTTTATCCTGCACATTACTACTTCAGATGCTGGGCCATCTTGTAGTCCCTGGGTGAGTCAGGCTGTAAGAAATGGCATAGGTGCATGAAGCTGCAGGATTGTGGGAGTCTTATTTTGCACTTCATCTCAAGGTCAAGTAAATTTTAGTTTTGTAGTTAAAAACTAGAGCTTTAGCACACATGCAAGAAACAAAGCTAGCTGGAAACAGCTCTTGTTTATATCTGTGATGTTCTTTAAGTAAGATGGAGTGAGACTTGATATGCCTGAATGAAGGCATCTTAGAAGGCATGGCAGACTAAGCTCATCCTTTTCATGTAGAAAGGGCGGATGTGATTGCCCTCAGTACCTTCAGTTGTGTTTCTAAATTTTCTTTGGTGTTTGTGTTTACTGTTTCTTACATTTCACCTGAAATGGGAAAAAATAAGATTGCTAGTAAGTTTTTTTTGTTTGTTTTTTCCTTCAGAATCATTTTTCCTGCACGATACAGGAGTCTGCTGTGGTTATGGCTGTCATTCAGTGTCTTAGCTGCATGACTGACCTTTTTTATTGTTTACAGTAAAGCTCACTGTTAACTACTGAATACTTTTTAACATGAATATTGTGCAACTTAAAAATATTTTAGTTCTGTATTCACTTTTATTCCTTGATGCTTTCTAAATTATTTGCCTATAGATGCTACAGTTGTTTAGATGCACACTTCTATGATGATGAAACTGTAACTGTAGTTCTGAAGGAGAGTGCGGAACAAGAGGGGAAGGAGAGAGTTTTGGCTCAGCTGCCTTTATCTTCAATATACACAGATGAGGACCAAGACAGGGAATTCATCTGGGATTCTACTAAAAGGTACTGAAAAACTTTGAGCAAGTCTGAAAATGCAGAACTGAAAAGCAGATTAACCAAATATTCTAATTGTGTACAGTTACTCATGCTTTGTGTGTGTATGTGTAAATACTTTAAAGGCAATAACTCTTTTTGTGCCAGGGAGAGTGGGGTGGGGAGATCGAAGCTTCCTAAAGAGTTCATTTTATGTTTTTTTGGGTGTTGGGGTTGGTTTTACCTTTTTGAGACTGAATACTACCTGTGTACAGGTAGTATTCTAGCTTCTTTTCTTTAGAGGATGCTAACTTTGCTGGTCAGCATACTTGAATTTAGGATGTTTTCAGCATATTTGCTCATATACCTCTGCCTTGATACACAGATTTATTGATCTTTCCCCTGGTAGTCACATTTACAACTACTGTCAGCTTAGCCTTGAAACGTCAGAATTGGTGCCCGCCTTTGTGTTGGCGCAGGGAGAGGAGAGCGTATGGGGGAGGTGAACACACACACAAAAAAGGCCAATGTAGTTCAAGCGATGAATCCAATCTTTTAGTTGTTGTGCCTCACTTGCTTTTTCTTTTTTCTCCCTACGCCTCTCTGGTTGATTGCTTAAGATACGTTTTTACTTAAAAATAAAGAGCCATACTGAACTGTAAATTTTTTTTTTTAATGCCACAGAGAAATTGTGTATTGAAGAATGAACAGAAAATATTAAAAGCAAGTTCAAACTAATCCTGGCCACTGTAATAGGCAGGGAGTTCCTTCATACAGTCCCTATGAGTGAGGGTGAACTGGAGTGATACATCTTTGAAAGGTCATTGAGGCCGAACTTCTGTGTAAGTGGAGGCATCGCCTCCAGGACTTCGTTCAGAAACTCCTCTTCTTGAAGAGGAGAGGTTTAAAGGAAAGCCATCCTCATCCTCCTGCTGTAGCTGTTACTTGCGGGAAGATCAGGCTTTACAACTCCCTTCTCACCTGCTGTAATCTTTTACCTCAGTTAAAACATGCTGTGTTTCCACAGTTGGATCCCCTGCTCTAGAATATCTGTAGCAGCGTTATGGTGGTTTCAAATGCTTATCTGCTTGTTGCATATGATATAATAAAACGTAGACGTAAAAAACTGGACCGACTGACATTCGTCTTAGTACTGGAATTGTTTCTTATGTACTAGCTTTGTGCTTTTCTTCTTGTTATGTGCAGGCTGGATGAGCAAAGTGGTGAAATATGCACATGTACTGTCGTCTTGGAGAATCAGTGGAGAGTGCTGGAGAATATGAAAGCTCAGTATGTTTCTGTAAATGGCATTAGAAAAGTTTCCTGTGTGGTAAGTACAGTATCTGTGAACAAGCCTGTAAACTATTAAAGAAATGCTATGACTGGAGAGAGTGATAACCTGTTTTTGCTAGTTTAGTGAGATTTATCAAAACTTTTTTTTTTAAACAAATAGATTATTCTCCCATAATCTTTTATAAGTGTGTCAGGATACAGTCGTACCTCTCTCATAACACAACATGGAAAAACTTTAACAGATCTACTTGCTTTACTTTTCAGCCTGCAGAGCAATAAAAAAGTTGCTAATTTCCTTGATACCTCCATTTCAAAGATAGAGGCAATTTTCAAAGCTATTGGCTGACATTTAAAATGGTATTGGTGCTTTTATTTATTTATTAACGGAAACTCCTTAATTTCTCCGTAGCTAAGTTCAAATCTCCGTCACGTGAGGGTGTTTGAGATGGATGTAGAGGATGATGGGGAAGTTGAGGAAGAAGAGGAAGAAGAAACAACTCAGATTGCAGCTGGGGAACCTGATGAGCTAAATCAGTCTGCAGATAACCAGGACAATGTGTGTGGTCCATCTGCTGAGGAACTACCTGATGAAACTGAAGAACGTGAATCAAGTCTGGATCCTTGACATAGGCTTTTATACTGGTAAAGGGACAAGACTGTAATCTAACTTCAGGCTGCTGAGATGATATATCCTGTACCTACTCAAGCAGCTGTAGCAGGATGTTGTGTGTCAGAATTCTGTATTGCTTCTCAGCTAAGACTGTGTTCTAGAGTACATTTATTTGACCCTTTTTTGTCTGGCACATGGTTTGGTATGAACTAAATTTCCTTGAGAGCTTTTCCATTTGCATTTTTTTTATAGGTGAGGAGAGAAAGAAATACCAACTAATGTTTTTGTAGTTAACCTGTTCAGTCCTAAATACTGATATTAAGATAAAATGAACTTGTATGTGAAAACAACAGAACTCAGGACCGAATTAATTTCTTCTCAGACTTCGTGTTCTAGTAATGGGTACAGAAGCTTCCCATAGAGCTGAAATTTAGGAGTGTGTATGGCCAACAACAAGCTTGCAGATCAGCATAAGACTAGTTAGACAACAACATTTAGCAGTTGTTGCTTAAATACATACTTTTAAAAACTCTTGATAATATCTGACCTCAATAACACAGTATTTCAATCTGCAGTTCTTTAGTCCTCAGTGCAACATTTGTGTGTGTGTGTATGTGTGTATGTTTTGTCAAATGTTTGCATGACTCAGCCTGCCTAGTTTCTGTGAGATTGTTCCTGAAAGTCTGTCTTCTCCATCTGGTTTTTTTGTAATGAAAAGTCACAACAGAGAGTATATTTTTTTATTCCGATATGGTATTGTATGTCGTGCATAGGCTTCAGCATAATCATGTTTCTTACTAATTTATATATTGTGGTAGGAATGATGTAGTGCTAAGCAGTAGAAGCTAGAAACAGTGTTTAGAAATCTAAAATGTTTTCTTCTTCCCTACTAGCTGTCAGAGTCTTAGCTGACTTAAAACTCAGCTCTTTGAATGAACGATGCTGCTAAATGCATGATCTTCCTTCAGAACAGTGAGTGTACCTTGTATTTGTGAAGAGGACCAGGTCTTATGCATGTGCTCCATTTTGTACTTCAAAAATAAACAAATCTTCTGAAATTGCTATTTGGCATTGCAAAAATCAAATACTAGACTTATCCTCTTTCTCTTGTTTTGAAATATGTCATTTTTAAGTAACTCTTTTAAAGTGGACTTCTGAGGGTTTTGGACTGTTTGGGGGAAACTGTTGTAAACAAAGCTGTTCAGTTTTGAGAGAGACTTATTTTTTTCCCTTCCTTACTAACCTCCTTGAAAGTTGCTTGCTGTTCAGCGTTCTCATCTAACATGCTAATGGTTGGAGGCACAATGAAGCTGTAGGACAGGAGGGGCAGAAGTGCCCATTCAAAAGTGCTGTGGATTTTCTTTGTGTAGAGCAGTTACTCTTGATGAGAAATTGCTGCTACAACAGAACCCACTCAGCTTAAGCATGGCCTTGTGTTCTTCCAGGAAACTTTTGCTTCTGATCTAACTTGAAGAGTTGTCACACTAGAGTGCTTGGAAACAATTGTTTTGCTGTGCTTTCTGCTAAGTAGTTTTAGTCCATGGGCATATGGAAATCTGATCTGTCCTGCCCATAATTGTTTCTAAATTTGTGTTAATAGCAGGTGTGTCCCATGCCACAGGGACATGCCCTTCAGAAACCTCCCTGAGGTTATTCTGTGCATCTTTCTAGTCCAATCTTGGATATACTTGAGTCAATGAGGGGTTTGTTTCTGGCTTCAATAAGTACATGTGTGCTTCCTACATTTCACAGTGACACTATATGAATGCACCAGTTTAGGTCAGTGCTTCTGAATGCATTGCTGATTCCTTCTGTCAAACTTATTTTTAATTTGCTACCAGATTTCTGTAATAATAAATGTCAGTAATGTGCTTATGCATCTGTTTTCAAAAGGGTGATAGGAAATACTTGATTTAGGAGTTTTTCAGGATTTTGGTGGTGTCTGGACACGATGATCTCACTGGGCACTTCGATCTCTTCTTCATCATCCTTTTTTTTATGCTAACTGAAGGCTTATTCAACCTTTTTCTGCTGTGAGTTCTCATTCTTTCTTGATAGTTTTGTAGTCAAAAGAACTTCTATATTCTCAGCAAGTGTGCACACAATCCACTCTTTGTAGTACTAATCTTTAGGTCTCTAAGAATCATTCACTGCTGCCTCTTTTTTAATATCTACCTTTTTTTATGTGGCATTTCTATTTTTTTAAAGATCTTGGGCAGCTTTTCTTTTATTTTCTTCTGTTCACCTTGTGTAATCCCTTTTCCAGACCTTTTGTCCATGCCTTTTCTGCCTGATCTCCATGACTTGCAAACTTGCCACACTGTTGAGTTTCTGCTTCAGTCTCTCACCAGTTGGTGCTGTTTTGCTTCACAACCTGGACATGCCGTGGTACCGTTGCCTCCCACTTACATGGATTTCATTGCACACTTATACTTGCCTTCATAAATGACCACTTCAGCTGTTCAAAAAGACAGGAGATGGATGGAGAGAAATAGTGAACAAAAGCTTGCTTTAGTTAACTGTTTCTTTTTGCAGAGAGGAGAAGGGATGTGTATTTTTGTAACAATACCTACAGTTGGTCCTAATGCTGCTTGGCTTTGAAAAACGTACTTAAAAAAGCTTTAAGCCTATATGTAAACCTTGACAGAATGGGAAAGCCATCTAAGTACTTAAGTTCTTTAGTAAGTTTCTGTGGCCTGTGTTAATATCTGTAGTCAGAGTTGGCTCGTGTCTTGTTACATGCTGCAGTAATAGCTGAGATGATCTCTCTTGCTACCTTAAACTAGCTGTTGCTCTTGGAGTTGTGACTCTAAACTAATTTCTTCCTCAACAAGCTGGTTTAGGGGAAGAGCTGGCTTAGCTTGTGCCATGGAGCAGTGGTAGCAGTCTAAGAAGGACATTTTGGAGAGGGGAAGGAAGACTTCACCATGGATCACTGCGTAATCAGAAAGGAGAATGCATATGAATGAGGAGAGAGGATGAAAGGAATTGTCCCAGGCTGAGTTTCAAGGAGGGATATGCAAAATGACATAGGGATCTCTATGGAGAATGCCACTGTGGAGGAATTCTAAGAAAAAAAAAAAACACACCACCTCTGGAAGTGGAAGAGAAGAAATGCCACTTGTAGGTGAATAAAATGCATTTAACTATACCTTTAGGTTAAGTAATAGAGCTGCTAGCAAATCAGTCTGGAGACCGTTGGTGCCAGCAAGTTCCAGAGCTGAAGTAAGTTATAATGGGATATAAATGTAGTGTGGCTGTTCCGGCATTCTTCCCCCAGGGGGTATTATACAGCTACTGCTCCTAGCTGGCAATTTTGCAGCTCTGCCGGCAGCTCTGTGCAAATTATGTAATCATGCCTGCTCCCGTGAATCAGAAGACCTTGGGTGGTTTTATGCAGTTCTCGCACTTAACCTAGAGGAAAAGTAAAGAATCCTATCGGGTTTAGTTCTTACAGTTCTCACCAGGAGCCCTACCTCCCAGAGTGAGCCTATTCTTACTAAGAGAAAAAGAAAATAACTACTTAGGGCCTAGTATAGGAAATAAAAGACTCTATTTTCAAATCCATACTCTTACTGTCACGCAAAAAGAATTCAGTCCCATGTCAGTAGAGATGTTGCATATTGAACCTGGTGTTGGAGTTCTCTTAGTAGGTCATTGAATCTGTTCTGCTTTGAACAAACCAATTATTTGTTTGCTTGACTGAAAAATGTTTGATTCTACAGTCTGGAGATTAGGGTACGTGCTAGCCACCTGAGAAAGCGAGGTTCAAGGCCTTCTTCCAAAGTGACCAGAAAATAGGATTTGAAAAAAAAAAAAAAAACCCCTCTTTTTCTCACCCTAGTGAATCTTTTACAGATTTAGAGGTGCAATCATTTTTCCCTGTACTTTGTTTTTCTTAAATTAGTTATTAAAATAAAGTCTTCAGAGATTTATTTTGCTTCTTGTAATTCTCAAGAGAATTCATATATAAATTCTGTAATGAAGACGAAGACTTGCCCTCAGGTGCACTCAAAATCATCTCCTAAACAGCCACTACAGATAAGACCCACAGGGACAAAGGTAAGGAATTTGTTCATCTGGTGACGTGTTTATTTTAGACTGTTGAGGTAACCTACGGTTTCCTGAGGTGTCCTGGTTTCGGCTCAGTCGGCAGTTCCTAAAGGGTACAAAAAGGCCTATCTAAAACCAGCACACGGTTGCCAGCCTAAGAAGAGCCCAGAGTGGTAAGAACACAATAGTCAGTGTCCCTTTTCCCTGTTCTGTTTCCCTGACTCCGTGTTGTCACAAGGAGTCCTAGACAGACCTCCTGGATTCGGGAGTCTTGGCTCCTGAACCTTGCACAGACTACTTGAACACACATGTCCAGCTGCCTGTGAGTATGTGGATATGAGTGTGTGAGTGAATGAAATCAGTTTTGTTTTAAAACAAAATCAGCTTCCCTTCTTATACTGTCTGGCTTCATGGTTTGCTATGTTGCTGCTGCAGTGTTGATTACGTAAGAAATAATGGCAAAGAGGATGGATGGATGGATGTAGCCAGGTGTTTTTTAAAGACTGAAAGGATGGACCCAGTCTAAAGAGAACATGAAGGGAAGGTGGAGAGCAAGAACTGGATGCGAAGATTTTCAGCAGTGTATCTGATGAGATAATTTTGGGTGACTTAAAATACCAGGCCAGAGTTTAAGTGTATGTTTATTTCTCTGTGGTATCTATTAATCACCTTGATGTTTGAATGCAACTTAAAAGCAAATTGCTCTGGGCCAAATTCCACCTTTGATTATCCCTGTAAAAGGTCACTGGAGGCTCCCGGACACAATTAAAAGCAGAATTTTTTGTTAAATTACTACTATGTTTATGGCAACAGTTAGATCAGACCTACTTCTTGGTCTGGTTTCTCGCCACAACTTTGACAGAGATTACTGACCACAATAAACGTATTGTGGTCATGCAGGGTCAATGATATAATGACTTACAATAAATGGATAAAAAAAGTTCCTTGTACTCGGTATCCATGTCCAGACTACTGTAAAAAGAGATAAACCAGCAGAACTAAGTGCTTCGTAGGAATTTAAAAAGGCACTGATGTTCCTAAAATGGTGCCCTACATGTAACAAGTGACCAAGGCTTTCAGTTTCACTTCTACCTTTTTTTTAAGTTGAAGCTCCTTGCTTAGTAGGTAAGTCTCAAGGTTGATCTCTGCCTTCTAATAAAAGCAGCCACTAATCTGAAATCAGCAGTGACTATATGACTGGGGTTTCACTTTTCAGTTACTTCACACCCAGATGACTTTCTTCCTTACAAATTTTGAGTATTATTTCAACTGCAGGGAGATCTGCACAGCTAGGTGTGCTGTGCTCCCCAACAAGAAGACATGGTTTGTACCTGGGAGATGCATTTTCAAGGACTTTTGCTGGTGATCCATAAATACATGGCTAATTACAGTGTCTTGGTTTTCTCTCTTTTCCTATCTATTAAATTTTAAAATACTTTTAAAAATAGAATGAATTTTGTTTGATGTGAAGAATCACTGTAGTTGGCAGAATTATGGAAATAATCACGTCAAATAACAGATGTGATAACCTCTTATAAAGATGCAGTCCGTATTTTGGAGAAGGCTGAGAGAAAGTAGGATCTGATTTAAATCAAGGAATCTGATGGCTCGCTCAGGAAGAATGACACTCTGAGAGTTGGTTTGAGTTGGTTTTCAGGGAGGCGATAGATTGAGATGACCAAAGTGTAAGGGATTTTAAACAAACTGCAGCTGGAGGAGAGTGAGGAGACACTCTGTCTCCTCTTTCCTGTCTCCCCAGTATATTTTATCTTTGTAGATTACTGGTAATTCCTTGTGATGAATCTTGATCACTCAGTACTGAGTGAAGGAACAGCCTTATCAGTCATGGTTGAGTATATTGACATTTTACTGGCATGATCTCAGCTCGAGCCAAAGTCCTGTGCCACCCTGTCCTTAACCCAGCAAAAACTAATCCAGGGTCAGCCTTTGGTTCTGAAGTCCTGGTCAAAGGAGATCTCCCAACAAGGGGAGAGTGCTTCCCT